TTTTAACAAGAATTGGGCTTGTCTGAACCTTTTTCACTCTTTGAATGTCTTTATTTAAGTCAGGAGTACAGTTTGTGTTTAAAACTTTGACACACTTTTACACATATTCTTGTTGAGAGGTGCATTTAAGGCTCTATTTTGTTTTTCTTCTTTTTAACACACTGAGGTCCACATTTACAATCAGAGCAGAGTGAATGAGAAACATTTGAGTGTTTTGAATGTTGTAATTGTTTCATATAATCTGATGTTTGTATTCACAGGTGCTGCTCCGGAGCCGTCGGTCATAATACTTCATCAAACTAAGGACTCAGCGCTGCTGCAGTGTGAAGTTCGAGGTGCTTCTCCAAAACCTGAAGTTGTCTGGAAGGACAGTGATGGAAAGATTCTTACTGCTGATGATCCAAAGGTCACGAAGACAGAAGGAAACAAATACGATGTTGTCCTCCGTATTACTGTGACCAAGACTGACAGCTACACCTGTGTGGCCACACAGAAGGAAATCGGTCATCGTGTTTATAGTGAAGCCTTTGTGGGGTTTTTTATTTGTGAGTAGTATTTTAATCTCAAAGTAATTGCAATAATTCACTTGTTTCTAGTTTTCAAAAATGTGAAGTTGTGCTCAGAATGAACAAAGCATCTTTTCAGAGGGAAACACATGAGGATCAATTCCTCAATAAGAAAACACACAAACAGCTGAATGTTTGTTTAATACAGACGAGCAGTTACTGGATAAACAGACTGAGAAAAGCCTCCATCAGTCACATTCACTGTGTTCAGTCTGAACTCAGCTCATTAATTATTTTCTTTGGGATTATTCTGGACTTCATGATCTGAACATACATGATGCACAGTTACAGTCTGATGACGTTCTGAGTTTCAGAGAAAACATCTGGAATCGTTGAATAAGAACCTTCATCCAGTTAAAACATTGTTCTGATCACTGATCAGCTTTTTAACTCAGTCTGCAGTGTTTCACAGTTTTTATTTATGGTTCTGCTGCAGCAGCAGCTGTGTTGCTTTCAGCCTGAATTATATTGAAACTCCTCATGTTGGTTTTCTGATGACAGTTTGTTGTTCTTGTCAGAAACCTGCGGCTCTAAACCTGTTCATGTTTGGTCATCTGTTGGCAGCTCGTCCTCTTTAATATGAAGAAGCTCAGAGCAGGTTTCTGAGCTCTGGCTAGACGACTGAGTTGATGAGCAGCTTGATGTGATTGTGGTTGTTTAGTTGAGTGAAGCCAGAGAACAAAAAGACCTCCTGGAGATGTTGAAGTGCTTCGTAGTTCAGACCTCAGCTGAGTCTGTTGCTTTGAGCAGCAGCAG